ATAATAGTTAATCAAATGATTTTTTAATCTAACGTATATTATTATCGAAAGGGGGCGAATAACTTTTAACCTTAACCATAGAAAAAAAAACTATCCTCGTGCGCGCATTGTTAATCTCGAGAATTTATGTAAGCTAGTTACACGTGCACCATTTAGTGAAGAAAAATAGTACAAAATATATATTTGTTCTACGGAATGATTTTGTTGACGAGGTAATATAAGTACTTACTTTTAGTTTTATTCAAGCTGTCTTTCTGGAGTCAGAATTCACATTACCTTATAGTCCCCCTTCAAATACTGCTTGCTTGTCATAAGAGCTTGCACAACTGTAGTCTCCCACTCCTTGCCGGAACCTAATCCCCCTATTTGGCGTACGAGGGCCACGAGATCATCAAATGCGCGAGCACCTTCAGCTGCAAAATAATCTAAGCCCTACAGTGATTTTCTTACAGAGGCACTGCACTCAAAGAGTACCCGTCTCATAGTAGTTTCGCTGAATGGTTTGAAGTTGATCTCCAAACAGTACTGAGTGTAGTGTTGTATCACTCGCTCGGGTATCATCATACGGATTACGTTAGGTACTTGAATAACCTCACTAGACGAAAGCTTGAGATGTTTTTCCCCAAATGGAAGGTCCTGAACAAGATGCGGGCTCGTGATGAAACCAAGAAAGTGGTCAAGCTGCCTCAAGTCTACTCGTATTCGTGTGGTAGGCTGTTGTGGAACTTGAGCGCCTCGGCCAAACTGTGATCGATGAAGATTAGCCATGGAGTATCGGTATCTTGTCAACCCCGGGATATAACTGGAAGTGTCGTTGAAAGTTCCAACCCCTGCCATAATCGAAAGCACTTGTCTACGGGTATCCCAGCTGGTTGCATTCTGGTACACTTCTGCTAGGGCCTCTAAATACAAATGCTCTGAATGTGACAACTCACTTACACCTAGGGCCTTGTTCATAGCCGTAGAAGAGGCTAAACGTCGCCAGAGTTCACCAGCATTATCAGGGGTGACGCTCTTTAGCACAGTTGCTACTATTTCTGTGGCTGTCCTTGTTTGACGTTGTCTTGTTCGCTCAGAGGAATCACTCCAAGAAAGCCATGGCTTTCCAAGCGGTTCAAGTTTGCATGCTGCCAGGAACTCACTCAGCTTTTCGCGCGGCTCATGTAAGATCACAGGTGTGGGCTCGTCACTCTGAGTGGAAGTTGTGCTTATTGTGTCTGGTGACAGAAAGGTGTCATCAGCGATTGTTAGACGTCCAAGGCTTTCTGCGAACTCTTCAACAGATTGACCAGCATCACTTTGTCCTGGAGATGAGTTTGAGCTGTTCTGTAACATACAAAAAAGACGATTAGACATCAATGTTACTTCAATATTTCTGTTTATTTTGTCTTTAGGCATTATTTTTTTTATTATAGTTCGAAACTTAAGTTATACATCATTTTAAAAAAAGAAAATATGAATTTACATGCATACCGCTATCATTATAAATACTCCCGCTCCAGCCAGACCGAAAGGAATTTAAAGAAACGAACAGTGACCTATTCGTCTTAAAATCATTTTCAGAGTCATTTTCAAAGTTTACAGTTATTCACAGTTACCCAGCCCTTTCGGAATTTTGGCATTTGTTATGTTGGAATAACAGTCTGTATCCAAGGTTACCGTTTACTTACTTACATTTGCTTCTGAAGTCTCTAGTTCTACGCATGGAGTAACTTCAATCATTGGTGCGGGTGTCACTTTCTGTTGTTGGTTTGTCTCCGCGAAATGTTGCTTGCACATTCTGCAAAGAGCTGTAGCAAAAATAAATGTTAACCTTGTTAAAAGGCCATCGCCGATTTCTTTACTATTCTTCAAAGCCATTTTCTTCTTTGGGGGGAGGGGAACAGGAGAATAAAGGGTATTGTAACGCTAGCGCATATGTTGCTTTACGCCCTCGCTCGTTTAAAATTAAAGCGTATACTTTAGCTACAAATGTGTTACGATAAACTTACGCGATCCAACTTGAATAAGTATTCCTTCAGTGTTTAAAATAAATGCAGATAGAACGCTGTCCAAATGCCGATCGCCTTTGACCGAGGCTGTTTTGTGAGCAGCTATTTCTAGTGGAATGCTACGCTTCACTTTTGAGGATCTCCAGCGCATACCAAATTCCGCTCTGTGGTGAGGGCATATTGTCAATGACAAGTGGGACTCTTCCACTGCAAATACCCCTAAACAAAGGTAAAGGGAAAATTACCCATTGCATACATCAAGAGCGAGTTGAGAGACTCGTGTGCTAGGAGATCTCGAGGTCCCCTTTTTCATAAAAAAGTCTTTAAAGTCTGTGTATCAGTGACAGGTGTGTGTGCGTGGGTGGCGGAGCGGGGGGGGGGGGGTTGGGGGTGGGGGTGGTGAATAAAGATCTTTTTTGCTATCGTAAGCGTTAATATTTGGTTTGCAAAATATTAGCGCCGCGGATAAAAGCCTGCGATTTTTAAAGAGATGAACTCGTTTGCTTATTGTTCTTGCAAGAAGGATACAAAAGAGCGGTAGGCAAGTACTGGGGAAAATAATTTTGTCAAATGGAAGGGGACATTTCGGTTCGATCGACCGAAATAACCTGACCGGTCAAATTGGACCAGCTTCAAAGGCGTTCCCAAATATTCTGGTAGGACCGAACCAAAATGGTCCATTCCATTTGATTTCTAACCGAAACTTGCGGAATTTTGGGCTGAATGGAAAGCACCCGAAGATTTTCTTAGAATAACATGACCATCGTGAGGTCTGTGATAAAGAGATGATGGAAATGTACACCACTATTAGCCGCTACGTAAGACGGTAAGACAGTACATAAGATTTACCTGCTCTTGCTAACAGCAATTTCCATTCAGTGTCAAGTGCTGTATCTGCTTTTAATCCATACAGCTTGCAGTGCCTCGAAATGTCCCTTGTACAGTTTCTTAAAGCGAAAACTTCAACTTGGCCTGGATAATCGCTGATTAAACCACAGGGTGTGGCGTCGTGTAATAAACCAGAAAAACTACACGAGTGAAACGTTGCCGAAGCCATGACAAAAAACAAAGCTCTCCCAACAAACGAGACAAACTCCACTAACGCTGTTTCGGTATTCGTATTACTAGACGGGAATAATTCAATTAAAAATAATATCGTAGAGGCACGTGCAATAGTAAGTGGCGAAACAGTTCGTGACAATATATAAATTTTATTCCAGGAGCATTTGACCTGGAAATGTTTTATTAATATTGTTCCTAGAGTCGAATATTTCTACACTGATGATCTATAAACAGACGTACGGTTGTACATTTTTTCATTGGGACTGCTGTAATTGCTTCTTTGTCTGTTTACATTGTGTACGAAGTATAGCACGTACCGTCATATGCGACAAGCTAGCGTGACCAATCTCTGCACGTTTGCTAAATTACACATCACATGATCTTGTTATCCCGTCTAGTATCTGATTTGTTCGCTCAATAAGAATAATACTCACCTTGTTAACTGTGTGGTTTGAGCAGTGGTTAATTTTCATCATTGTATGTTATTTTCGGACCAAAACATAATCAGGTTTCATTATTATTAAAGCGTCTGATAATGCGTAATAAGCGCTGCGTGGGAAGTGTTTAGATAGCTTGATTTCGATTTTCTCGGAAAATGGCTCTTAAACACATGACATCATCCACCTTGTCAAATGTAATAGCATGATCATTTCAAATTGTAATGCCTTCTTATCCCAACGTTACTTTGTTTCTTTGCTACATTAGCGAACACTGAACCACTGCTCGTACTCTAGATATGACAATCAACCACAAAATTCCCTAAACCAGATAACATTAAACATAATCTAAAAAATCATGTGTCAATTCACGAGTTTGCTCACAGAGCACTTTGATTCGCATACGTTTTGCATGTTAGTGTACCTTTTGTCTACGATCTAGAGGCTTCGCTGCCTGTCACGTAACTTCCTGTTCACTACGTCGAAACAGAAACCTTCGTAGTTATCCAAGATATAGACTGAAACGTGTTAAGAACGGCTGTACAAAACGATAGCGAGGATTTGAATCATGGCGAACAAATATCGAAAGTTTGAGAATCAGCCATCCCATCGAAAGACATCGAAGCATCATACAGAGGTAAAGAATGTAAGTTCATCTTGCTCGTCTATGTCTTAAGCGTAATTTCTTCCGGTCGGTATATTATATACTGTAAGATTTTACGCCAGTAACTAAAGGCGTAATTTCTTCCAGTCGGTGATATATATATGTAAGATTTTACGCCAGTAACTAACGGCGTAATATCTTCCAGTCGGTGATATATATATATATGTAAGATTTTACGCCAGTAACTAACGGCTTAATTTCTTCCAGTCGGTGATATATATATATGTAAGATTTTACGCCAGTAACTAACGGCGTAATTTCTTCCAGTCGGTGATATATATATGTAAGATTTTACGCCAGTAACTAACGGCGTAATATCTTCCAGTCGGTGATATATATATATGTAAGATTTTACGCCAGTAACTAACGGCTTAATTTCTTCCAGTCGGTGATATATATATATGTAAGATGTTACGCCAGTAACTAACGGCGTAATTTCTTCCAGTCGGTGATATATATATGTAAGATTTTACGCCAGTAATATAATTTCATTATATATTAATTTATTATAATTAATCTACCGACTGGGTTAGTAGCGTAAAATCTTACAGTATATAGACTGTGTTAGTCGCATATTACGCCGTTATATTTTTATTGCCAAAGCCTCAGGAAAATACTCAGTCGCTAAATAAATTATTGGGCTGTGTGGCAGGCAAGTGAAACCCTTCAGTTGTAATAACCACTGTTTGCCAAGTCTAGTGTCGATTTTGAGTTTTGCGATTCGAGGTTTCGATTTCCTTGTCCAAAAATAGGGTAGATGCACGTATCAAGACTTACTGTACAATTGCAGTCACGTGCCTTTTGATTCCACTTTTCAACAGTTATGAAGAGCCATTTTTAAAATAAACCCCTAGGGACACTGCAGGCATGCCAAACAAAACAAGCTGCTCAACACCCTAATGAAATTTAGTAGTATCACTTCATAACTTGCTTGAAGGTCAGCTCAGTTAGCGACGGTACGCTGAGGCATTTTCGCTGTGAGATCAATAACGTAGAGGGGAGAAAGTTGGAAGAAAACCGTGAGAAAGTCGTCAAAATAAAAAGTTCAAACTTTGTTTACATAAAGTGTGAGGCATAGCCAAGCCGCCAGGCACTTCCAGCGGATTACTTTTGACAATGATCAATTTTGTTATCAATTGAATTTATCAAAACGTCACGCAACAACGCCAGTCCCGTAGAGGGCTACCCTCAACCGGACGCTCAGACCACACAACCGACTACTGTCGAACACCAGGAATATAAGGCCCTTTACTTATCAGTTACCACTCTGATATCAGCCTTACAATTTAATTGTCTTGTTATTTCCTATAATTAACACAGGCCATGTTGTATTTTGTCATTTACCTACGACGTGCAATTTTTAAAAAGTATTCTCCAATACTACGTATGAAGTGTTTTAACTGGCCCAATTGTTCCTGAAATTAAAAATGTAAGAATAATTGAGTATCTTGTATGCTTCTCTGTTTTTTTATATCTATCAGAACAGCACTCATCAGTAAGTAGACAACTGATCACCTCCATGTTAAAACCTCTTGTAAGGTGTTTAAAGCTGAGGAAGGTTTGACCTTACACGCGGCTACAATAAATACAAAATCGTGTTACTTTTTCTCAAGCATCTTGTTAAAATTGTTCCTAGGGAAATCCGGGCTGGAGAAAATCGTTGGGTTTGAATAACCTGACGTCCGGTAGCCAGTCAAGACTGTCAAGACTGTCATGGCTTTTTCGAAGAAAAGGTGAAGTAAAGGAAAGAATTGACTTAGAACTTGAAGTCAATCAAAGAGTTGTGACCTTTATCGAGGACCATGTATCCCGAGGGACTGTTCGTCATATTGGTGAGGAGAAAGACGCTGATGGAAATGTTCAAAAGATTCTTGGCTTGGAAATGGTAAGGCCTGCACTTATAAGAATTTTGTTTGTGAAAAAGAGCAGTGATAGAACAAGTATCGATGTTTAAGATTCAGTCATACGGTACTGATGCCGTCTTTATATATTACAAGACCTAAGAAAATGATGTTCTCTGAGAGGATTAGCTCCTGAACCTCATGCAAAGATTTAGCGGCCAGCCATTTGAACAAGATTCGTGCCACCTGCTTTTATTATTATTTACCGATAGGTTATGTTTTATCTTCAGGAATGACTTTGCTTTAAGATTTGCTGCTTTGTGTCTCGTATTAGATTGGCAGCAATTTGGCCTGATACCTTTAGAGAACACTTTCCCATCACTTAAGGCTGAAAAGCAGCCATATACTCATTTCTCGGAGTTTTGCATGTAAAGTGTTGTAGTTTTATAAATGCTGATAGCTTTTAACAACTTAAAGCAAATTAGTGAGAAAACAAATAAGTTATCTGCAGTATTGGTTAAAAGAAAGAAGGTAGAAATTGTCTCTTGTATAGCTGCGTAGGTTTTCTAGCGACTTTGTGATATTCTGGTGAAAATAATTACGGCTGTAAAATTCCTTTTGAACTTCGGGTAGGACGAAAGTTTCAGCATAGGTGGATGTGGAAGAAGGAATGGGAGACAGCTATTCACTTGTGAAGATGGTTTTTCCATGTTTATTCCTCTGGAATCTGTTATGCTAGAGAGAGAGTTTGACGCTGAACCTGAAGAGCCTGAATCACCGGAAGAGAGTTCTGAGGAATTCGATTCGCAGTCCGACGATGATTCATCAGGTAAGGAACACTAGTCTTCTGAACATAAAGCCAATAGTGCCAGGTGAGCTGAGTTATCTATGTATGAGACACAGGCACAAAAACCTAATTATCAAGGACTTTGACAGCGACAATAGATAAAAGCTCTCATTATCAGGGCTAAAATCACTGTCCTGCCGAAACACATCGCCATTACTGTTTTTTTTTTTTCACGTCAAATACATGTACCACTTCTTCGCTGCCCTGGGAATTCATCTATTCTTCTATTGAGGATACTTATGGCTGGTTACCTGTCATGTTAACCGTTTACAATAGAATATTCAGTACTTGATAAATACTATATGTCTCATTTTGTTTGGTTATGTTGCGCCTTGGACATTTCAACTTCAGTGGTGCCTTGTAGATTTTGACTTATCATCATTATCTAGGTATTTGTCGCGCTTTTGGGTCCACATGAGATTTTTTTGATAGATTAAATGATGCTTGGACCGTTTAGTGCTAAGATTTGCCATTTGGATTGATTCTTAGAAACGGGTCCTGAACAGAGATTAAGAGAGGAACTTACAAGAACAGAAATTAGAGTAGTTTTGTTAAGCAATCAGCTCTCAAGAAGGCATCAGGATGCGGAAAACTTTCAGAGACAAATTCAGAAGATGGAGCAACAGTTAACAGTAAGAGAAGATCGAAAAGAGAATTTTAGAACACAACTGGATAAGGAGCAAAGATTGCGAGCGGAATTAAACGAAAGAGAAACGACAGAAATTCTGCTACGAAAGCAGCTCAGAGAAAAGGATTGTCAAGAAGCAAGCCTCCAAAGAACACTATGTGAGCAAGAACGGCAACTGGAAAAGGAACGAAGATTACGAGAAGAATTAATAGAAAAAGAAGCAACAGAAATTCTGCTACGAAAACAGCTCAGAGAAATGGATTGTCAAGAAGCACACTTCCGGATGCAACTGAGGATTCAAAAGCAACAACTGGAGGAGAAAGTTAAGGGAGATGAAACTTTAAGAGAACAATTTCAGGAAATGGAACGCAGGTTGAGGGAAGAAATAACTGAAAAAGATGCAAGACAAGTAGTTTTGTGTGAAAAGATCACCGAAAAGGACCAGCAGTTGACGGAGATGATACAACAATTGACAGTGACAGTGGAGCGGGAAGAAGATCTTAAGACGCAGATAAAGAGAGAGAATGAGGAGCAAGTTGAGAATTTACGAACGAACCTGAAAGATGTAGAGAAACGATTAACACAGAAAGAGGCACAAGAAGAAAATTTACGATTAAGCCTGGAGCAGATGGAGCAAAGGATGAGAGAAGAATTAACACAAAAGGAAACGAGAGAAACTGAGTTGCGCAAACAGCTTAGCGAAAGGGAGGAGCAGGCTGTTGACTATCAGAGACATTTGAGCGGGATGGAACAGCAATTGTCAGAAAAAAATGATCAAAAGGAAACTTTACTGAAACAACTTAGGGAGATGGAACAACGATCGAGAGAGGTTACAGCGGAGAATGAGATGAGAGAAAATGAGTTTCGTGAACAAATCAGAGAGAGAGAGCAAGAACTGAGGGAGTTGGCACATCAGTTGACTGAGAAGGAGCAACAAGAGGAGAACTTACGCGCGCAAATAAGAGTGCACTTAATGGAACAACGACTGAGAGAAGAAATGATAGAAGAAGCTACTAGGCTAGGTGAACAGCTTAGAGAAAGGGATCAACAAATAGAAAACTTTCAGATGCAGTTGCAAGGGCTACATGAACAACTCAGAGAAAAGGATCAGCATTTAGCAAACGTTCGAACGCAGCTGGAGGAGCGATTTAGAGAAATGGTAGCAGAAAATGCAAATCTAAGACAACAGGTTGTTAACCTCGAGAATCAAGCCGGATCACAGTCCAATGATTGGGTAATTTCCCGGGATGATATTCAGTTGACTGATAAAAGCCTTGGAGTTGGAGGGTGGGGCGAGGTTTTCGAGGGCAGGTACTGTGGTTGTTCTGTTGCCGTGAAGCGAATCCATGAGGCAATTAACTCGCCTTACAACCAGAGTTTGTTCCAGAGGGAAATTGATATTGCTTCGCGATGCCGACACCCTTGCTTACTGCAGTTTATTGGAGCGACTAATGATGAGGAAATTCCATTGTTTGTTACTGAGCTGATGGAATCGAATTTGCGCGAGCTACTGAGACAACGACGTCTTTCCCGTAAGGAAATCACCGTAATTTCGCTCGATGTGGCTCGAGCGTTGAACTACCTCCACCAAAAGAAACCTTTTCCTATTTTTCACCGCGATGTTAGTAGCGGCAATGTGTTGCTATGGCGACAGGGTGATCAATGGCGAGGCAAAGTGTCAGATTATGGCTCTGCTAAGTTCGAGGAACAGTTTATGTCAATTGGCCCAGGATGTTTCGCCTACGGTGCACCTGAAGTGCAGAGACCAGCAAAGCACACAGCAAAGGTGAGAAAATAAGCTTACAGAATTTCCTTGGAGATATATTTTTTTAAAACATGAACCCTTTACAATTAAGGATTAAACGGTACTTGTGTAACTTAGTCTTAAGTCGTGCGCTTGGTCAACGCAAAACGGCAAAGTGTGCTCAGTCTACAAAAACGACAAAGTGTGCACGGTGTACACAATCGGCAGTGTGCTCAGTCTACACAAACGGCAAAGTGTGCTCGGTCCACACAAACAGCAAATTGTGCTCGGTCTACGCAAACGGCAAAAAGCTTGTGAAAACAGCGATCTTATTTCATTCTCTTTTCTTGTCTTGCTTTTTAGATTGATGTCTACAGTTTCGGTGTTCTCCTCTGTGAAATGTGCATTCAGACATTCCCAGATTATCAAAACCGTGAACGTCAAATCGCTCAGATGACAGACCAGGTATTGCAAGACCTCGTCCGCCAATGTGTGCAGTATGATCCCACTGAAAGACCAGATATGACAGAGATTGTCAGTACACTGGAAGAGTTCAATAAAACTTTGTAAGTTTATCGGGGCAGGTTTTTTTAAACCATTATCGGGGTTTTTCTTTTTTTTTAAGAATATCAAAGATGAAGAGTTAATCTGAGAAAAAAAAATTATTAGCTACGAGGCGCTTGCAATGCCTATGGAGGGTCACGAATTGCACAAAAAATCGGCTTTATATGCACTTAGAGATAATTGTCAATTGAGTGTATGGATGAAGATAAAGCAAAACTTAAGAAAAAACTTCCAAATTCAACAACATTTATTCGCACATACAGCTGTGATAAGTATTTAGCTAGAAAAGTATATGAACAAATCTTACATTGAATTACTTTGAATTATCCAAGAGTCCATTCATACTCAGTCAGGAGCAGTGTACGCGTTGGCTTTATAAAGAAATGCATAAATTTTTTTCATAGGCATAGAATATTTAATTGTCACCGAGTAAACTAATTTCCCCATGTGCATAAATGTAGGCGATAACTATCCAGCTACAGAGCAGTTATATTAGGCTGTAACATGCAATCCCAGAGTCTCAATCTGCCAAACACGACGAGTGAAAACGAAAAACCTTAGGGGGAAAAACTTATTAAGGAATTTTTTTCCGTATGATGGTGTTAATCAATCCATTAATTTTTAATTTAAAAACCCCGATAGACAACAGGAAATCAGTTGCGCACTGATAATTGGAGTAGCATTTTAGTTACAGGCAGAACTTTAAAAAGAAAATTCTTTGCATCTTAAAGGCTGAACGGTTTATGGCTCATTCAGTACAGAAACGTCTAAATATTTTATTGGGTACAAATCGTATTTGTTCAAGTGTAAGCATATTTAGGCCCAAAGCAATACTCTACGTGTCCTTTGGTTGGATTGATTTCAAAATAGTACCAATAACCGGGTTGACAATAGTTCGTCCCAGTCTCAGTCTCAGTCTTGTTCCCTCCGATATAAATGTTAAGATAAAATTTGTTGACACTTACTCGTTGATTTGTATTTGAGCTATCTGCAATTTATGGTGATTTGAAAGCTGGTAACGTTACCGCGGAACCCTGTTTTTGTCTTGGTACTTCAGTTCCATTACATATGCTCATCATCAACTGATACAGGGTGGTGCAACTGAATCATTAGTTAAGAGTCATTAAGAGAATTAAGAGTCAGTATTCATTTATAACATTGTAATATACCTGTACATGTTATAGTAATAAAAAAGTATATCCAGTAGATCTTAATTTGCACGCCAACAATTTTTTTCTTCTTGTACCATCTGCTCGTTCATTACTCTTGATCTTACTTGGATGCGTTTTTCCAAGGTTCTCATGTAAACGAGTTTCCAGCGGGGTGCAAAGAAAATTGTGTACTCATATGAGTAAACTTTTACATAAAAATTTCTGAACTCCATCATCAGGGAGGAGGAACAGAACTCCCTGAGCTTCGCAATTTGCGTTTCAATGCTCCACCAATGAGAGTTCAGCGGTGAGAGAGAAAAACCACTAATATAGGTAAGGATGCTACAAGCATTTTGCTTCCTTCTAGGATGATGCGCAATGCCGCAAAAATTGTGTGTGTAAGGAGCAATTCTGTCTTGGTCACTCATGGGAGTTACAGGATCAAAAGCCCCGCGTTGAAATTCGTCCTTCAGCAGTTTAGGAATTTATCAGCCTCAGTGTCGGGATAAATTTTGGTCACGCTAGGTAGCCGATTTATTTTCTAAAACGTATATCCAATATTATTCATTATTGACGAATTTTGATTTTGAAGCTCTAGCAAAGGTGACGACACGATAGAAAAAGGAATAAAGTGCTCATACTATACGTAAACAAAAAATGGAAGAGTTGTAGGAGGGTTGAACTTGCTTAGTGTGTCAGGTCTGGAGACAAATATGAAGAACTCGAGAAACATACCACGTCTCAAACTAATCACTAAAGACTTTTTTCTTCATCAAAGTCTCCAGTTAGTCTTGTGAATGTAATCTTTTATCAATCAATTTTTGATACTATGCCCAAAGCCTATTTAGTTTGATCCTTCACTGACTCCTTGCCTTGGCTTAATATCTTCGTTGAAAGTAAGTAATATAAAAAAGTTAACCCAGACGATTAGGTAGGAGACAACTTGTTTTATTTCGGGAGCAAATAAATTTATTTGGAATAGTGCTTGCCAAAAATGTGCACCTCCCGACAACAACACTAGCACTTTAAGTCCATAAAGGCTCTTGGATTCACGCAACTATTAGTTCATCATAAGTGCAGCATTTTTTAATAGCTGCGTTACTTTGTATATACTTTATGTTACGGTCCATGGGCGGAAAATCTCTTACAACATTGAGTCACGAAGTCTGTGCGGACACAGCACGAACATAAATTAGTGTTAACTCTCTTTGTCGCTGAGATAGCTGTACTTGTTCACTTGGACGGTTGAAAATAATAGCAGTCATAGCAAGAGTCAAAGCTGAGGTCAATTTGACACCAAGCACAGTTTCTACGTGTTTCATCAAAGGTAAATTTATACCGTTAAAACACTTCAGTAAATAACAATAATTGTGTCGTAAAGGTCAAAGTTGTTTGACGTAGCTCTTTCGAACTGTCACGCTTATTTTGGGCATAGCAGTTATTTACGAAGTTATATAAGAGTCTCCATCGTTTTTCTGAGAAAAGTCGTATCTGACACTTTTCATGAGTTTCTTATCTTCCTCATCCCGATTCAGCCAACTAAGTGAAACAACTACGTTGCAAGTAAAGAAGAAGAACCTTATTTCTGTTTCTCAGAGGAGCTAATTTCGCTTTCACATCGCACGACCAGACCAATAAAAAAATTTCTCCGCAAGGTACAGGATGGAAATCGACAATGTTCAGAAGGAGAAACCCCGACATAAACACTCTGAGTACTACATCGTCCGCTTTGATCCAATTTAGAAGCTGATGCAGGGAGAGTTATTGAAAGCTTTATCAAGCTCATACGATTTTACAGTGGAAAAATTTGTCCCTGTCTACCAAGTCTACCAAGGAGAGCATAAAACGCGGATAATAGAGTGTTCCACCACCAACGAAGAATTTATCAGATTCTCAAATTAAGATGCTAGTTTACTTTTGTCTTGCACTTCACCTGAATCAAGGAATCAAGTACTTAGTCGGCAAGGAATGGCATGTGAACTGTGCATGTGGCATGTGTGGAAGATCTGGGTACGTGACTACTGTACATGTACGTAACTTTCAAAATGCACAATTCCCCCCTAATCTCATACCCAGATCTTACTGTGTACCTATTATTGTAACCCCTTGGCCATGAAAGGTCTGGGTACGAGACTACAATCCCCCTTCTTTGGAATGTTTTGTTTTATAAATGCTGATGTCCTGTTTCCGAATAAATTAACTCACCCATTCATGCACAGACTGTATTTTGATATATCACCAATTGTACTTAACGTTTTTATGAGCTTCCCGTTATGTCGCTAAGGAAAGTGAAAGCGGCGGCTGTTAAATGAAGTCAGGCTCATAAGACCCAACCATGACCATGTATATTTTGTTGGTTCGTCAATGTGCACTCTTCTGTGTTTACAGTGGACAGGTAATAGAAAGCTACCTGTTTAAAGAGTATTAATGCATTTTAAGGATTTGGCATGGGCGAGAGCTCTCATTAGCTTAACCCTTAAACCCTCAAGATCGGATTGTTAATTCTCCTCACCGGCTGCTATACATTCTCCATTAAACTGGCTACAACAAATTTTAACAAACCAATTATCAAAGTTCAAATGCCCCAGGGCTTACCTGGGGAGGAGGGATGTTGACGCTTCAAATGGATAGAGGCATTAAATCTTATTAATTTCTGATTTCTTTCAGCAGTTTGAATTGAATTTGGTCATTATCCTCCAGTACGTTTTACTGTTTGATCGCCAATTTATAACCCTCTTAAATAAAACTTGAAACCCTATCTTTTGTTAGTGTTATTATGTATATGGTCTAATTGGGGTACACCACGAGCTAGTGGAAGGATATGGCGTGGCGTAGGAGTAAAGAAAGTTCTCACTACCTAACTCTTTATAATTGAAAATTAGAGATTTTTCAAGCACCAACCCTATTTAGCTATAGTGGTTAAAATTGTATGATAATATCATTATTTTTAATCTATGTAGTCGTTTCCTCCAGATTTACTTAATATAAAGAATATGGAGGATGGTTTGAAATTCAGTCAGATTTTTGTTTTCAAGGCCTTACCTTACCCCACCCCCGCTTAAATAGTGACCTTGCTCGCTCTACCCCTCTAGAGCAGTACATGCGGTTCCATAGTAAACCGCCATCAAGGGACTCGGTCCGGTGACCCTTTCAGTGAATATTAATCTCTATTAATATGAATCTGGACATCGATAACTGAGAGGCCTGCACTGGGTACAGGCAGGGTGCATGTTAATATTTTTCTTTTTCTTTAAGATTGAGCGATTTGTTCAGCATGTAAGTCATAAGACTTGGGTAGAGCCAATGGCTATTCACCACGCTAATGCGTTTTAATTGCGAAATTACTTTAGTATCACCGCTTAGGTATCTGTGCACGTGTTATTAGTAATCATCTAGCAAGCAAGCAAGCAACAAGTTTATTTTTGCTTTAAGAAAGTTTTAGTTTCCCTCCAACCCACACCATAGACAGTTTTGATTGCATCTTAATCTCATTCGTGTTTGTAATTTATTCTTGATTACTGAACCGTTGGTTTAGAATATACGTCCAATTAACAAATAGATTCCAAGTTGCCGTGCGTCTGTTCAGTAATAGATCACAGATGACGTCAAAATATGGTAAGAACAAAAAAGTGGCACACGAGGCGCAGCCTTATTATATAATATATTTTATGTAATAGTCTAGTGTGTTATTTACGTAGGATATATACATTTAATTAACTGTCTGGTCCCAAAACAAGCCTCTGTTATGGTGTTTAGTTTAACCTTAACCTGAGACATATTTTATGCTTCTCTACAGTTTTCTAGAAACGGGCCTCTTACTCATAACGCAAAGCTATTGTTGTTCACGACACGGTGTTACCTCCTGAGATTGGTAGATTTTTCGGTTCGAGCGAAATGTGTGCCGTTGTTTATTTATTACCGCCTTCCTCACTGAATGGACGTCAGTTTCTGACTACGAGATATCTTAGCAAGGTAACGCACACTTTTAGCTAAATATTTGGTTTAGTGGCATGACTGATTTTTTTCCAGCACAGAAACTCTCAGTTTCAGGAATGCTGTGATTTCACATATGGCAACAGATTGTGACGAGAGTTTGCACTTTCACTTGCTGCGAATCGATTGTCAACTACGTTTGCATTTTGTTGTTTTAGACAACTCAATATTGTGCAAACAAAGCACGGCGTATTTTGCGAGGAAAAAAAAAACAAAACAAAGGGAGCTAAAATTATAATTTGAGCAGAACATTCCATAACAATAATTAAATCGCGGATGTTATATTTGTTATGATGATTTCACAGGTACAACCCTGAAATTTGTGTCGTTATCAAGATTATTCTGTGTTGTTGAGCGGTAAATGATAGGCAGACACTTCTAACTTGTCATAGGGGTGTTTCTTATTACTTTTGCTCCCACTGCTGAGAATTACGAATTGTACATATGGCAACAGATTGTGACGAGAGTTTGCACTTTCACTTGCTGTGAATCGATTGTCAACTACGTGTGCATTTTGTTGTTTTAGACAACTCAATATTGTGCAAACAAAGCACGGCGTATTTTGCGAGAGAAGTGATTTTGTTGTTTCTGGCATTTTCAGGTGGATCAGGGATACCGGTGTAATCATTGAAGAAGATATGGATGAAGCAAGCACTCGAGGTTATTGAACATGGACCCTACTTCTGGGGGCCTCCCGCTATCTACAATCAGAAGTTCGAAACGGTAGTCGAAAAATTCGAAGATTTATACTTAGCAGTTATCTTCTTTCAGATTACCTTAACTACAGATATATCTATTTATTGCCCTTATTTCCGTAAATTGTTCAGTATTTACTGAAATAGAATCATAAACCTTTCCTCCACGAATCTTGATAGTAAATACGCGTTTATGAAATTATTCCTATGTGTCCATATTCTAAGCTTTTTTCTTGAGCTGTGGTTTGGGAGAACATTACATTTCCTTTTTTGGTGAGTCAATACTACTTCTGGATAAAATGTTGATAGGGTAAACACAAAGAAATCTGCTGGACGTGAGAATTTTTATGGATGATTGAGTTTTTACCTCGTCTTTCCTTTCGAAGCGTTTACCAAAGGTTAAAGCTATGAAATTATCACATCAAAATAATTTACTCTGTTATCATATTTACGTGAAATAAATGTTTATCAAGTCGCCTCATAAAATGTGCTCTATTCGGCTTTGCTGCAAAACACAGACTTTCGTTGCTAAACCTTTTAAAACAAAAGAATCTGGGACAGAAAAAAAACAAAGGGAGCTAAAAAATTTTAATTTGAACAGAACATTCCATAGCAATATTTAAATCGCAGATGTTATTTTTGTTATGATGATTTCACAGGTACAACCCTGAAATTCAGTTGTGTCCTTATCAAGATTATTATTTTGTGTTGTTCAGCAGTAAATAATAGGCAGACACTTCTAATTTGTCATGGGGGTGTTTCTTATTACTTTTGTTACCACTACTGGGAATTACGAATTGTATATGATGTCTTGAGATTATGTAACATTCCTACTCATGTTATTGTGGATGTTGCACCAAATCATCTAACAATGAAGTAAGAGAGTGTCTTTGGTTTAAAGAAATTTCACATTGTAATTACAAGTGGTGGACATGTTTTGACACATAAAATAGACGTTGATTGAGACTCAGCTGAGTTTTCTCAATTGCATTGATTTCAGTGATATATCTTTTATCATATATCTCACTTTCTTATATTTTGCCTTCTCTTGTTTGGTGCCTTTTCCTTCATGCATGAGGTTACACAACAAGCGGAGTTAATATGATATGCAAGTGAAAAATTTTGCTGATTAGCTATTTGTCAGGATGTTACACCGAGCTGTTTCTAATTGAGTTTATTTGTAGATAAACAGTTCTTAACTACACTGAAACGAACAGCTTCTACTTGGAGCGAGAGAGCACTACTGTTGAAACAACCAGAAAGGAAGGTAAGCTAAAAGTAAGATTTGAAACGCTTTAAATGAAAACAATTCCATCTAAAGTCTTTCAAACATAAGTGAAGTATCGTAGTTATCCAAGATATAGACTGAAACGTGTTTAGAACAACTGAACAAAACTATAGCGAGGATTTTTATCATGGAGAACAGATATCGAATGTTTGAGAATCAGCTATCCCGTCGAAAGACATCGAAGCATCATACTGAGGTAAAGAATGTAAGTTCATCTTGCTGATCTATGTCTTATGCCCATGATGTACGTCCGGAGTACGTGAAAGGAGACATAAACACTCATTCAGAAATCGGACATTTCGAGC